AGTGTACAAACAATTTATTTCATACTAAAAGTTTCTATCTTATCTTTGCTGTATATTGGCAATATGATTTTTTTCTCTTTGGGTTAATTTACTATATATGGACAAACTGTTGGCACAAGAATAATGTTAACTGACCAATCAATCAAGTTTGACATATGATAACCTATTGTCTGGAGTAGATCAAAAGAATAAACAAACTCTTTGGGGATAGATTGGCTTCATCATTGTGATATTCCACCAGCAATTTGGTTATTGTATGTGAAAATTGTCTCAGTTGGGTTGAAAACAATCTGCTATTGTATCTGATGAATAATTCAGGCCTGACAGTCATCTATTAGAGGCCTTATATATATATATTTCAAATATTTTGGATCCAATGTTATACTCAGCATGGCCATTTAATATCATTATCTACTTTTGGAAAGTATGATATTTTCTCTGTATATAAGTTCTTTTCAATGAAGTGAAAATAAAAACATCATTAGATTTTAGCAGTGCAGCAGTCTTAATTTGAGAAAAGGGAGAGCTCATAATCGAACTCACCCAGGCGTCTGATTCAGCATCACACTTTGGTCGCGTATCTCCAAAACTACTGAAAGGAATGGGTTGAAACCTCACTCTCACTTATTTGAGAGCATTATAATAGGTAATTTTCCAAGGCTCATAACTCTAACATTGATTTTAGCAGAATTATGGTCCTTAATCGTTTTTCTAAATCACCGAAAATAGTTGAACACACTGTCCTATGGAAACCTCATGTTATATATCAAGTATGTGAAAAGGTGTATTGGACATTTTGAAATAATATTTTGCACCTTCTGGGTTAAAATTTTGTTTTTCTGCAGTAGATTTCCTGCTTTTCAACAAAGAGACTTCAGTGGGTAACCATTTGATATTTTTTGCATAAACCTATGCATTCTTCACTCAGATGCCATGGTAATAATTTGGCTAAATACAGATTTTCCACATATTCTTCAAAAATATTTGCTGTGTTACAAGTACTTTGCATAGACCTCTATCCATATGCAGAATTTTAATTCACTTGGGGTGACCATGTTTCCTTATATGTCATTTTAATCTTTATTTAGGTGAGCAATGTGTCAGCTATCATGGCACTCTTGTTTTTATTACCCATACAGAAGAGTATGTCACGGTATTGAACTGTTCACTAATTAGGGGAGATAGTGTTTAAGGCAGCCAGATAGTTTTAAACTATAGAGTCACAATAAGGTATTCCGAGGGTCCCGAGTTAAGGTCCCATTATAATCTGGCTGTCTGTGAAGATCTCTTGAGTACATGAATATTGTCTCTCACATTACAAATAACACAGTAAAGAAACAACACATTTTTTCAGACATGTTGCTCACTCAACATTTTGCGAGCATTTATAGACACAAATCTTGTTGTTTCACAAGGTATTGAGTAGGAATGATTGCCAATTCAAGTCAGACAAAATGACAATACAGACAATAGAATTAATTTGAATACATTCCGTTTACAATTACTGTTGCCATCAGAATTCAACATTCACTATTTGTGTAACTTGGAAACTGTTACACTATTATGTGGAACAATTTATATAAGGTTGAAATATTAAAGTTTATGAAGCTATAAATTTGCTGTAAATTATTGTTTATATTGTGATTTGAAATTTAATTACATTATATTAAGAAGGAAAGAAACTACAGTTAAACTTCGTTCGCTCGAACTCGGATCGCTCGAATACCTCCCTTCGCTCGAACTCATCGCCCAGTCCCGGCAAAATTCCTATATAATATATATTGTTCTACCTCGGATGGCTCGAACACCGATCGCTCGAACTCTCGAACCTAATCTCTGGTCCCTTCGGCAGAAATATAGTAAAAATCACACCTTTTCGGTCGAACACAAAAAGACAAGTCGACATGTCCGAAATAAATGACAGTCGGCGACACATGTTTTTATTCAGTTTATTTTATTGAAAGGAAATGGGGCATGTATAAAGGTCAAAAGGTCATACCGACTAAAAATAGCAGCAGACTATTTTTGTTTCAGACAGTTTTATTCTGTTTTTGTACAACATTCATGCATATTAAATTACATAGCCATTCCATGTTATAAATCTTTCAAGAAAGGGCAACATACTTTGCTGTTTTTATTGTTTTCAATAAATTTATCATTCATCAAATATAGCTTTTATATGCACTTTAAGAACTTAAGTTCAATCAATTGTTCTTATGCAAATTATTACAAAAATTATGAGAAAAAGTTTACTCCTTAACCTAAATTTGTGCAATAGATTTGACCAGCTTTGAATTTGGAACAGTTCATTCAATGTTAAAGGGATTTCAATATCAAAATACAAAAATTAAGTTACCAACAGTATAGAGACAGGTTAGATTGCACTGGCTGTGTAGATGGCATAGCTCTGTACTGGTGGCAAGGCTAATATCACTTTCAGTTCCTGCAGGTCAAGGTCAAGGTCATTTGAATTTTAATTCACATTATTCTCTGCACAGTTAACATTTGAAAGGATATATCATGGTTTTCATTATCAGCTGATTGGTGATCCATTATATCAGTTGAAATGCTGTTGATTGACCCATGGTTTTGTTGGGGCATCTGTTGCATCAGATGTAAAAAGAAATCCCTGATGTTTATAACAAAGGACTTTTTGGGTTGAAAAATCCATTGGAAATGCCTTGTGGCTATTTAAAATTATCAGTAACAGATAGCTGTTCCTGATATTCAATTTTACTTTCGACATAACATTTTACAAGACCCTGAACAATTGCTCAAAGGAGACAATTAAACAGCTATTTAATTGGAATAACTGTATTTTAAATGGATTATAAAACAATAAAAACGCATTGTAACTTAAAACAGCCGAACAAATAGCTTTAAAGAAAAAAACATAACAGATTTTAAGATAATGAGGGGTACAGAGGAAACCAATCAAAGATGGAATCAGAACAAACTTTCTCAGAAAACTTTACAAAAATTAACAACTTCAGGTTCAAATTACCAAAAGCAATTTATTTCTCCTTCAGTAGCATTAAATTAACCAAAGACTTAAACCTACATGTATGTAAATTACAACCATTTTATGTGAAATTTTGAATTATGAGCCCTGAATTCTACAATTTTTGCAAAAAAAATGATTATAAAGTTTATAATCATTTTTTTGCAAAAATTGTAGAATTCAGGGTATAAACATTGGTAGGATCTATCATGGTATCCTTAAAATAAACTGAAATTTGAAAATTTCTTAAATGAACAATAACTTGGCATCTTACCCATAAAAAAATTATTTATCTGTCTATTTTTAGTGAAATATGTCACTTTTTGTTGCCGCAATTTTCAGTACTTCAGTAATCATTGTATCATTGAAATGTATCCCGAGTTCTTTAGAACAGCAAAATCAGTAGATCCTGGAATAAACCAGTTTACAACCATTCTGATGTTTTACATGTGTTCTCTTTTCCTGAAGCTTTATGTGCAATATTAACAATAGAAAACGCAAATGGACATTCAGTAACAATTTGTATACAGACTGCCCTCTTATACAACATTTACATCCATACAGCATCCATGCAATTTGTAATAGATGGAGCATTGAAACACAAGGCTATCTGATTTATACGAAGGGACGTAGCCTCTGAGTGATTTGATGTTCTTTCTCTTTTGTATCATAGCAACAAATAAAAACAAGGTCCTGTTGTCATAATATTAAACCCCGGAAAACAGTAACCAATGGATGAGCATCTGAATATGACTTTTCTATAGCTTATAATCTCTTTCCCCGTAGTCACATTTAAGTGAACCCAAGAAAAAATGAGCCAATTTTATTTAAAGCATGCTGTAGACATACAGTGAGTGCGGATAACTTATACCTGCACTCCAGTTAACGCACTGTGCATGTTATTGTATACAATTTAATGTGCCAATTAAAAGCATGCTGTAGACATACAGTGAGTGCAGATAACTAATACCTGCACTCCAGTTAACACACTATGCATGTAATTGTATATAATTTTAATCTGACAAATTTTCAACAGTTTTCAACTTATAATATTTTTTATTTATTTTTAATTCTGTACGATAAGTGGACAGGTTATAAATGATAGTTATTAACCAAATAAAAATTTACTCAGCTAGCCATAACATTGAAATAAGAATCCAGAATAGATAACATTGCAAGCTTTAAAGAGCAACGCTATGGGAGACAAAGAATTTTGGTTGTTGATGAGAGTTGTTGCTTTAGAGAGGTTAATTTCATTGTGAATATTTACTTTTGGAAAAAAATAATACATTTGTTAGGAAGAGTTAAAAATTGCTCTACAGAGTGCTGCCCTTGGGGTGTATGACTGAGCGAGTGGTTAAGGTTGTTGACTTCAAACCACTTGTTCATCACTGCTATAAGTTCAAATCCCAACAAGGACTTTGGATTCTTTCATGTGAGGAACCTATCTAGGGAGCTAACAAAATATTGATGGTTCTACCACCAGTAAAGCTGAAAAATTTCCATATGACTTTTACTGTGTTGGGGCAAACAACTCAACTAAAAAAAGGGGGGCGTTCCTCAAGAGGTTATACTGTAATATGAGGTAGACTATAATGACTTTGTCAGTATGTCCATTTTTCTTGCTTTTTCATAGATGACATGTTAAACATCCTCCCTATAAATATCCTCCATATTAATTAATTACTAGCTATTGCTAGCAATATTTTATTGTACCAGGGATGTTTAACTTGAAATTATTTGACTTGAAGATCCATATTGACTTTAAGTGTCATACTTGAGTTGCATAAAAATTCTGTCCTTAATTAGCAGAATGTCAATAAAACTACCTTGGTGTCCACAATTTTTTGAAATCAGAAAAAGAGTAGCAATTATGGCCTTCCACAACATGCATAAAGTGAGAGTTTGTCACAGGAAAACCAAGAGGTATTAATGAGACTTGAAATCCAATCAGAAAATCTGAATGAAAGGGATGAATTTTTATCCTTGTTTATTACAGAATACCAAGGTTGTTAGAGGTGGTAATGGGATCTGCTGTCACTTTCCCTAGAATTGTTTCCTGTCTGGCTAAATGCTTCTATAAAATCTCCACGACGTTTGGAAAAACGTTTGTTGATAAAAAGGTAAGAATTTGAATTGACTTATTTAAGTGTTTTTTTCCGGTATTTTGTCCTTTATTAGACTTTCTTTAAAAGTCAGAGGACTCTGATGCAGAATAAACTTGTTTTACTGAATGGCAAACATTTTCATAGATATTTAAATCACCCAATTAAAAAATAGGAGCATACTGTTTTGAATTCATCCGTCTGTCTGTTCAAACATACAACCTGCAAAATGTTATCTATGTTTGATTATTAACTTGTGAAGGAATAAACTGTGCTATGTAACTTGGTAGGGAAATTGCCTTTGGCTAATTGATGACCCCTGATTAATTTAAAGGTCATAAGGTCACAGTGACACTGTGTTTAATCCTTGTATGATCAATAATTTGAGAAAGAATAGGCGTAAATTTGTTAAAGTTAAAAGGCAATACATGATTCCTGAGACTGTCTAAAAGCATTTTCGATTAATTTATTGAGAAAGAATCAACTGCTGTAAATGTGGCTTAATAAAGACATTTTGAATTGATTAATTAGTAGATGAACCTTATTGATTTGAGGTCATAAGGTTAAGTTCAAGGTCACATTGGCACTGTAGAATGTAAAATCCTTGTCTGATCACAGACTTTAGAAGAAATAAGCCATGGTTTATGTATTTTGGTAGGGACATTGTCCATTGCCAGTAGATGACCTCTTGATCTTTGAGGTCATTGGGTCAAAGGTTAAGGTCACAGTGCACTTAATCTAAAATCTATGACTGATCAATAACTTAAGATGGAATAAGGCAAAGTTGGTAATACTTGGTAGAGACATTTTCCATGGTCAATTTTATGACCACTTAATTTTGAGGTCATTAGGTCAATATCATAGTGACACTTTATTTGAACTATATAACTAAATCTTTTAAAATGCTGTGTAAATAATTTTCCTATACATGTATTATATAAAAACCACTTAGTCATTTTATTGTAAACTTGTACTCTGCTTAGTACAAAAGTGTTATTACACCACTTTTCCCCATTTTCCTATACTCATATATATATGTTTTGAGATTGTTACAATGGTAAAGATTTTACTATGATCCCAAGAGAGATATTTACCTTAATCAGACAAAAGCATTCTTGCATGATGAAATACAACATTGTATCACATCATGTTTGAATTATTATCAATTAAATAGACCATGCATTACTGAAATCTGTGAAAATTGTACAATAATGAAATTATACATTGGCATGCATGCTGCAATATATTTCATGGTCTTTCTCATCTAAGAGAATTTATCCCAAGGAATAAATAAAACTGTCATAATTCTTTTACATATTGTCCATAAAATATTATCTTTCTGATAAAGAAATTTGAATTGTGCGCAGTTAAATTGATATGATTACATTATAAGAGATGCACTAAGGTCCCAAAGCCAAAACTCATTATGTTGGAAATGATAAACATTGATAAACTGGAACACCTAAAATGTGTAAAAAATAAGCAAAAGTTGATAAAGAAAAAGCAGTTAAAAAGTGATTTTTTATGTGATTCTTTGACCAGTTTGAGTTTAAAGCATTTAAATGCTTTTCCTTTTTTTGGTCATTCTGCACTATAGAAAAACAGAGTGAGCCAGTGATTTGAAATTGTACATACAAGTTTATTAATGGTCAAGACTTACATCAAATGGTGTACTAATCTAAACAGTAAAATTATATTCCAGTTGATTTCTGAAAGAGTTCAAGTATATAATGTCTCTTTTATTTAACACACATAAACATTATGTAAACAGAATAAACCAAATATTAAGCTGGTATTTAATGTAAAGTTTTAACCTGCATTTTTCTCTCTTAAATAGATATATAGATATATTCTGTTTTTTCATACAGGTATATTGGAATTTTTCTTATTTAAAATTCAAACAATTATTTTCTAAACTAAAGGTAGCAGTCTTTTAATATAAAGGTTTATACACTTTAAGACATATCATCCCTGTAAAGGTAATAGGATGACTCTTTATTTTTAGCTGGTGAGGAAGACCTAATTAAGGTGCCCCGTTGTGCATTTATTATGACAGTATTAAAACAGGGCTCCTGAGTAGAACAACTGAAGTTCCTTTAAGCCAGCTGGATGGCTAATCCTCACATGTAAAAATCCAGAATCCTTGATGGGATTCAAACCTTGGCTTGGCATTGGTCGGCAAATAATTTAAAGTCAGCACTATTTATAACTCAGCCATGGAACCTCATACAATAAGAAAATACATGACTTATTTTAATATTGTAGACATCTAGATAAGGATTTTATTGCAGTTTTGATATGCAGGGAATTTGAGTAGATTTTACACTTCTAGCCAGACATTCAATCAGAATAAATAAATATTTACATGACACATATGAACCTTGATTGTCATAGATTGTTCAAATAGCAAACTGTTCTAATCAGACTTGATTCATATTCTAAAAGCAGAATCATCCCTATACAATCATGATACAGCTCTTATGCTTTCATTGCATTGAATTGTTTTGATGAATTTTGACTCCTCAGTATGTAGCTTAATTGATGATGCATATATATAAAGAAGAAGGAACCATTTTGATTTTAACACGGAGGCAGTGAAATACAATTTTCATAATTATTGCATCTGATTTAGTCAGAGTATAATTTTGGTGTGTATTTATTAGAATTACAGGCATAATGTTCCTGTGCATTGACTTCAAGCCAGTTGACCCTCACTGCTGTAGGTTCGAATTCTGTCAGGGATTTTGGATTTTTTCATGTGAGGAAGCTATCCAGCTGGCTCATGAAACTTTGATTGTTCTGCTTAGCTGCCCACTCATGCTTGAAATAATGTAAAGTTGCCACATGACATAATCCCAGAATTTCAATGGAACTTACAATTACCTGGAATTGAACTTGATTAGCCTTTGCCATATGTATAGATCTAAGCCAGCCACATAACAGTGTAGTCTGACCAAGCTGTATACTGCATGTACTGTTGGTAGCTCAGATTTGATATCAAAATCTGTTTAAAGGAAGTCCACAGAGGTTTAAATGCCTAAAAACATAAAATATGAATTTCTTACACGGATCAACAGTTTTCTAGCGCACAAAAAACAGAAAGATAATTATGCAAAATATATTTATGAGAATGAATTGACAACTGTTATGTTGTGCTATTTAAGGCCCGATTTGAGTGAAAAGCATTGAAAAGCTTTTCAAATTTCGATAATTTTAAATAGTGTGAGCATAAATGATGGGAAATTTTGCAAACAAGTTATTGGTCTAGACCTACATCAAAATTTGATGGAACATTTATTTCGAAAAATTATTTCTGAAGTCCCATCATGTCTAAAAAAAAAAAAATCAGTGGAGTCCCTTTAACTTTGAAATAATTAACTGTTCTATTATAAATCTTTACAAACCAAATCTATTACAAAAAATTAGTTGGTTAAAGGGTGAAACAGATTTCTTTCCAGTGTTATTCTGATTATTTGTTAACAAAATATGTTTTTGTGGCACCTGCCTAATCGATTTAAACAGCAGCTGTTGATTTATGTAGGCTTATGAAGGCTTTACACTCCAGGGATTTACCCTTTACCAGAATTCTCTTTTAAACATTTGAGTTATTTTATTTCAGTCTTATAATAATGTTACTATGTGGTGCAGTCCTACAGGGGATTATAGATAATAATATTATACCAATAATAATATCAAGTATAGACTAAGTTAATTTCATGTTGATACATTATACAGGTATTGGTATCAATTGGTATTTTGATTCAAGTAAAAAAGTAACAAAACAGTGTTAAAGATGAGAATAATCCTACAGTAATTAGGTTTTTTAAATAGAATCATAATGATGATCAGGATGGTGTTTGGAAGTAATAATGCATATAAATTTCTTGAATTTTGATTGGCTTAAACACTTTGTATACTATGCTGTATAATACTGTGAAGAACCGATTAGAGAGCACAAATAACATAATGTTTTTCTAGATAATGTAGACTATTGCACATAATTTGTGTGTATGAAATTTATTCTTTATGGAACATTTCTTAATTCAAATGTCATGACTTCAAAATAATACAAACAAGTTACACAACTGTGTCCACTTCATATTTGAATTACTTCATATTAAGTTTGCATAGCCATCAAATTTCTGAAGTCATCTTATTTTGCTGTGCTTTTTTACTCGCGCTTCTTTGAAAACGGTCTTAAGTTGCTGGTTTTTCTTATGAACTTGTCATCAATAACAATTTGCATTATTGTCTATTTGTTATATAAGTTGCTGACTGGATACAGGGAGAATATAGCCTTGCCGACATAAATATACAAGCTCAGCTTGGACTTTATAAGGATCATATTTATCTCTTTCAGGCTTATTATATTCTCCCATGTATCCAGTCAGCAACTTGTTTAACTAATAGTTGATTATGATACATTTTTTTTTTTTTTTTTGTTTAAGATTTTTATTTCATTCTGAATTTTTTTTGCCAAACTTCAGTTATTGTGTAAATACATGTAAATAAATAGCTTTTTAATGTCCCCCACCTTTTTGAAGAAGAAAAAAGGGGAATATATTTAAGTTTTCCCAGTTGATAGCTATGTCATATATCAAAAGAATTTGAAATAACCAAGTGTTTGTTATAATAAGACAATGTGTAATACGCAACATCCGGACCCCTTACAAATTCTTGTTTCAATATTTTTGTTACTTTCATGTCAAACTAGAAATGCAATGTTTTGTCACATCTTTTAAGCTTGTTTTCACATTTTATGTTACGGTTATAGTTTTTGTTCATTTCCATCCTTTTTCAAATTCTTCAAGCAATTAATTGGAAGCTCAGATAGGACGAAATATTTGCATGATTCCCGACACTTCAGAAAAACAAGGAGAAAATTATCATTGTGACCTAAGAATTTCAGTTGTGACACATTGTCTTATGGTACTCAATTTGAATTTTGTTAGGTTCATTCTAGACATGATTCTCAATAGAGATATAGGATTTTGCACTGGAGTAGCTCTGTAGAGAAAGAATTGGGGCTACATGAGCTCTGAGGCAAGCGTTCTAGTCCGGTTATCAGGACATATTTTTGGTCTTAATGCTTTAATTGAAAAGAGATAATGTCTTTTAGGCCATTCACTTTCCACATCTGATTTTTTCAGCTTGATAATTCTAAGGATAGGAAGATCATGCTTAATTGTACTCACTCTGGCATCTCCAGCGTCACACTTTGGTTAAGTTTTTGCTTGCAAGTTGGTGTCTCCAAAACTACTTAAGGGAAATGGATTGAAACTTCACACACTTATTTTAGAGCATATCAGGTCAACATCAAAGGCACATAACTAGGTTCTTGATTTTTACTCAGGGTTCGAATTTAAGCTGGCATACTGGCAAAATGCCAGTTAAAATCTAATAATGCCAGTAAAAATTACTCTAGCTGGCATTTATTTGCAAGTGACTGTTCATTTTGGACATATACATTATACAAAATTGTTATCTTCTGAGCTGATGATGATGCTTGGCATTTTTACTGCCCGCTGAAGAAACTGATGATGTTTAATGTGCCAGATGCAGTAAATGATGACGTTTACCTTAGAAACTTAAAAATCAATTTTTAGTTGCTATCAGTTTTTAGTTGCTCTATTTTTTTTCTGTGACTATGTTTTGAATGGACTATTTATAACAACCAAACACTATTTGTTAGAACTCCATGTTGTTTTATCCAATGTAAATGCGTAGCACTACTCTGTAAAGTGATTACTTTTAAGCTGAAATATTTGTTTAAGTAGATCAGTACCTCTAGGTTTCAGTCAAGCACAAAATACGCTAAAATTAATAAAGGTCCTAAGAAATTACATTACATGAACAAGTTTATAACTGTACATTGTCATCAGTGGGTGCTCCTCTGGTATATCTAATCTGATCCCTAAACAGTTTATCATTTATAAATTAATGTGTTAAATTGTTTTTGTTTCGTTACAAGAAGAAATAGCTCTGTGTTTACTTGTGATAAAGATGCTTCTGACATGATTCAAGCTTATTATCATTTGTCATATCAGATGTCCAAAATACATTGTCATCGTGTATTATAGTAATGATAAGATTCGTGATCATGGAAATGCCAGTTGACTACCTCATATTGCCAGTTAAGCATTTGATCACTTGCAAAAATCTGCAAGTAGAAAATATCGCTAAATTCTAACCCTGTTACTATCAATATGCAATATGCAATAAGGATTTAAAGGACTTAGAATAGTCGAACACACTGCCCTACCGACAGCTCTTGTTATGATTATATTGATATAAAATTCATTATTGAAAAGAAATGAGAAAAAAAACGAAAAAAAAAAAACCCCAAAATAACCAAACAGCAATAGAACAAAAAAAAAATTGAAATTTTACTGAACATATTATTACAGGTAATCAGGTTCGTCATGATAGGAGTTTCCCTTGTTAATACGTTTCAGCCTACCAGAATGGTTGCCAAGAGTCTGTCTTTAATGAATATCCTTTTTTTTGTTTTATTATCAGACACAAGATTGATTGTAACATTATTATGATCTGATCAAGATTAGCATAGGAATTTATTCTCCTCTTGTTTTATTAATCAATTTTAGAATGCCATCAGCGCACAATTTATTGTTTCTCGGTATCAGGTGTTTTTATGCATTCAGTGATATTTTGATAAACGATAGAATAAATTGCATTTTCCCTCGATTTTAATTGAATTGTGGTGATAGAATTTCATTGTTGTTATTTTCTCTTTGTCCTTCAGGTTTGTCCGAAAGGCACTTAAAACATGTCACTGTGATTGAGGCTGTTTGTTAACAAGTTAAATGTCTGCATTGAAAGTTTTAATATAGATATTTGATAAAGTTTCTTCAACAAATGTAATCAGACACTTCATAAACATTTTTAAGAATAAAATTAATGAGACTTTTTTCTTGAAAATCTTTAGCTTCACTTTTTGTCTTCAACCTTGTCTTGACCCAGACTCTTTGGCATTGAAGTCCATGTTGCAAGCACTAGTTAACCTTTTTGTTAAAGGTCCATTTTCTCAAATACTATAAAAGTCAGCCTCTTCAAACTTGGTATACATGTTGAATATTATAAACAGCCACCATTTCAAAGAAGGCAGGTAATCCTAAAATTGGTTTTTGAAAATTATGTCCCTTTTTCAGTTTTTTTTTGCCCTGGTTAACCTTTCATTTTCTCAGAACTTATCAAAAGTTATTCACTATAAACTTGGAATACTTATTCATTGTCAAAATATGACACTATTTCAGAAAGTGCATTTAGTCCTAAAATTTAATTTTTGTAGAGTTATGCCCCTTTTTGACATTCTTTTTTTCTGCTAAGGACAATTTCTCAAAGACTTGAGGAATAAATGCTCAGTTTTAAAAATGGAATGCATTTCTAAAGGGCATGTTACCTTGTAATGTATTTCTGTTAAGTTATGCCCCCATTTTTGACTTTGGATTTCTTGGTTAACCTTTTTATTAAGGTACATTTCTACAAAATTATCATTGATACACATATACTTTGAGCATTTTGTTTTGCCTGTATGTGTATTTAACCTTGTTTGACAACCAATGAAATCAGTTCAAGTTTGAATTTAGTCAGAACAGGCTGCAATCAATATCCATACTGTTTTATTTCAAACTGAATAAATTGATGTTATTGCACAATACATATATTATTATATCATGATACATAATTTACTAAATTTTCGTTTGAATATTTCAGGTGAAGCCTAGATTTATAGATGTTTTGATGATGGGAGAAGAACATATAGGTAAGAAATGCTGTGTTTAAACTTTTTAGCTCACCTGAGCTTGCTCAGGGTGAGCTTTTAGGATCGGTGAATGTCCGTCGTCCGTCGTCCGTCCGGCCGTCCACAATTTCTTGTGAACACTCTAGCGGTCGCATTTTTGCCTCAATCATCATCAAACTTGGTCAGGATGCTTATCTAGTTGAAAGCTCGGATGAGTTCGAACATGGGTCATCTCGGATGAAAAACTAGGTCACAAGAGCTAAAAATAGAAAAACCTTGTGAACACTCTAGAGGTCACATTTTTGACCCAATCATCATCAAACTTGGTCAGGATGTTTGTCTAGGTGATAGCTCGGATGAGTTCGAACATGGGTCATCTCGGATGAAAAAGTAGGTCACAGGAGCTATAAATAGAAAAACCTTGTGAACACTCTAGTGGTCACATTTTTGAACCAATCATCATCAAACTTGGTCAGAATGCTTGTCTAGTCAATTGCTTGGATGAGTTCGAACATGGGTCATCTCTGATGAAAAACTAGGTCACAGGAGCTAAAAATAGAAAAACCTTGTGAACACTCTAGTGGTCACATTTTTGACCCAATCATCATCAAACTTTGTCAGGATGCTTGTTTAGATAATAGCTCAGATGAGTTCGAATATGGGTCATCTCGGATGAAAAAACTAGGTCACCGGAGCTATAAATAGAAAAACCTTGTTAACACTTTAGCGGTCACATTTTTGCATCAATCATCATCAAACTTGATCAAGATGCTTGTCTAGGTGATAGCTCGGATGAGTTCGAACATGGGTCATCTCGGATGAAAAACTAGGTCACAGGAGCTAAAAATAGAAAAACCTTGTTAACACTCTAGTGGTCACAATTTTGACTCAATTGTCATCAAACTTGGTCAGGAAACTTGAATAGGTCATTGCTTGGAATAAATCGAACATGGGACATCTCGGATGAAAAACTAGGTCACATGAGCTAAAAATAGAAAAATCTTGTTAACACTCTAGTGGCTACTGTTGTGATCCAAATATTCTGTTAATTGGTCTGAAAGTTTTTTTTGATGATTTCTAAGTCAAGATTAAACATGGGTCATCTTGGATGAAAAAACTAGGTCACACCGCCCAAATATGGAAAAACCTTGTTAACATTCTAGTGGTCACATTTTCGACTCGATTATCATCAAACTTGGTCAGGATGCTTGTCTAGGTAATTGCTTGGATTAGTTCGAAATCGCATGTGAAACTAGGTCACCGGAGCTAAAAATAAGAAAAATCTTGTTAACACTCTAGTTGCTACTGTTTTGATCCAAGTATCCTGGAAATTGGTCTGAAAGTTTGTTTTGATGATTTCTAGGTCAAGTTTGAATATGTGTCACCTGGGTAAAAAACTAGGTCGCACTGCTCAAATATGGATAATCCTTGTTAACACTGTAGTGGTCACATTTTTGACTCACCTGTCATGAGACTTGGTCAGAATGCTTGTCTAGGTAATTGTTTGGATGAGTTTGATAATTCAGGTGAGCGATCTAGGGCCATCATGGCCCTCTTGTTTGTGTATATAAGCTATAAAGTGGCAGGCCAACAAGTTTAAAGCCTTCTGGACATAAGCCAACCTGTCCATATATGACCAGTAGGACAAAAGCTTTTATGATACACTCACAGTACAGTATGATGAAGGCCAATATTGCCATGCAGTTAGTGTATACTCTACATGTTTATGATTTCATGACTGAAATATTGTTTTTTAAAGGCATAACTAAACTATTGCACAAATTCAGAAAGTATACATTGACATGTCATAGCAGTGTTGGGGTCTTTCTATAAATATGATGATACTTAAAAGAGGAATGGTCTCTTATAAAGTTAAATACTGAATTGTAACTCATCAACAGATTTTCTTGTTTCCCCTATTTTCTGTGCATACAATCAAGCTATCTCTTAAAACCAAATTTTACAGAGATATAGCCTTTAAATTGACATTGTTTACACATCAAAGACAAGATTTTTCTCTCAAGTCAAAAAATTGATTAAATGCCAAAAATAAGATGACTTGGATAAATTGACATTTAATATGATAGATATTCAAAAAAGAAATCTGCAAGTATTGCCCTAGAATAATTTTGTCATAATATTTGTGAAAATCTTTTTGATGTGATATTTACTAGCTTGACTTTCAAAGAAATAAATTTTGGCTTTTGCTACAGTCATGTCATTCATTCCTGTTGCTGTTTGATTATTTTACATTGGCCTTTTTTATTTCTTAAATTAATGGATAAGTCTTCATACTTGGACACAACAACTCTTTAGACAAGACCTTTGAGTAGATCAAACTGATTGTGACTTTCAATCATCAATGACCTTGACTTTGAAGATCAAATTATTGAACTTTGCTAAATTTTTGCTATAATTTGCTATAAATTTACATATGTTATTTATGAAATGAATGTCTTCACATTTGAGCACAACCACCATAAGGGCAATATCTGATAGAAAATGAGAATTAATTTGACCTTGATTCATAAATGACCTTGAAGGTCAAATTATTGTAATTTCTCAGTTTTGTTTTTATATAATTTGGCTATTACTTCTTGGGCACAACAAGTCTATGGCCAAGACATTAAAGAAAATTTAATTGAACTTGACCTTTACACTACAGGTCAAATTAATGAATTTAGAATGAGCTATGATTGTCATAACTTTGTTATTTATTTAGGGATTTGATTTTTCTTAAACAAATTTAAACAACAATTGGGACAAAAACCAAAACATGGTTGAAATTAAATTCTGACATTGACCCTGAAAAATTTGGGACCTTTGACGTCCAAGGTCAATTATTGAAATTTTTGCAATAAAATTGTCAAATAAACTTTGGTATTTACTTACATATTTGATTGACACTAATGACAAAAGAACACATGTGACAAAACTGGCATGTTGATTTATTCTGATATGACTTTGACCTTTATTTGACCTTGACTGTAAAAAAGTCATGTTATTGAAGTTTGTTTAAATTGTCATAACTTTTTTATTTATTTATGTATTTGATTTATTCTTGGATAAATGTACACTTATGAACTGACATGAAGATTAATTCAAATTTTACCTTGACTTTTGAATGACCGTGATTGTGCCTGTCAAATATGAAATTTGAGTTTTGTTTTTGTACAATAAAATGTTTTGTAGGAGTATTCTTTGCTATGATATTCTTCCTCCAGTAAAAAATTCGAGTGTAGCCCCAGCTAGGTGGTGGGTCTTGTTTGTTTTTTTGAGAAATAAGCATTTAATGGAATGAAAAAATAGTGATGCCTATAGTAAAAAAGTTCTGGTAGCTATAACGTTTTTTTTTTTTTTTGAGAAATGAGCATTTAATGGAATGAAAAAGTAATGATGCCTATAGTAAAAAAGTACTGGTAGCTGTAACTTTTATAAAGTAGATCTTTATTATTTTTATCTGAACAACATTTGTACTGATCCTCAAAGTTGTTGATATAAATGTGTTGCCCCAGTGGAATACTGCACAATATTATAGAAGCATTTTGCACAAAGATAATAAAGTAAAAATGTATGTTATTTAAGCTCAGTTTATTGACAGTTATAAGAGTTATTTAGATGCAACTTCACCATGAAACAGAAAACAAAAAGGGGGTCCAATTTGGCTGCCTTTTAGAGAGCTGACTATTTGCATGTCTCTATGTGTTTTGTGAAATAGGCCTTGATAGATTGAAAGCTTTTCAAGGCTGGGAGAGTTAAGTGAATGTTTTTCAATACTTCACTTCAATGAATTTATATTGAAACTGACAAAACAAAATGCTCAAATGGGATAAAACATCACTACAAGGGGAACGTCAGACTTTATCTATATTTCTCAATACATATCAGTTCAGTTTGTGACTATTATTTAGACAGATTTTGTCTGCTGCCAAACTAGTTTAAAACTGGAGTGCATGTATGTAGAATACAAGTTAATTATTTTTATCAAGGGTTTATCTGACACATTACTGTCAAACCTGTGAACAACAAACCTCCCAAAGAAGAGACTTAACATGGCCTTTATAAACAAGTGGTCTTTATTTGGAGGTAACTGTGTTCCATTTTATAGTTGGTAGTTTAATGAAAAACGGCCTTAATTTACTGGGTGGTCTTTATTTGGATATTTGGAGGTGGTCTTTTAACACTGCTTTAACTGTATGTTATTTAATAAGATGTCATCACTATATTTGTTAAATGAGCTGAATATGAGAATTAGATCAGTACTCATTGACATGTCTTTTAACTCTTAACCTGCTTAAACCGGAAGTGATCAGCCTTTGCGACCAGTATTAAGCCAGATCAGTCTGCAAATCAGTGCATTCTGACCACAGGGCTGGGAATCAAAACTGCGTCGTATCCTACAAAATGAAAACAAACGCTGCCATCTTGGAACGAAAAACGTATGTTTTTGTTTATAACTCTTTTTGTTGGAAATGACTGAAAACCAGATATATGTATTAACACGCTCCACTATTTTCTGCTTCGTTCGATATATGTTGCTTGCACAACTATTTTGTATAACAAAAGTTATAGCGAACTTGCAACTTCTTCTTCATTAATAAACTTTTCAAATTCGGGTTACAAAAGATAAAACAAAAAATTATTTTGTAAAGTAGCTAGGTGTCCTTTTTGCAAAGGTATTTTATGCTTTGCACCGATAATTTTGATACAGATATATGCACGACATGATGTTTCAATAGTATTGAAGAAGTTGTCCTATATTAGATTAAAGCCAGGATGAGAAAACTTATGTCAGATTATGGCACTGAATTTTCCACAGACTAAAGAGAAGGCATCTTAACATACCATTATACTAAAGTGTGATTTTTATTTGATAATGAATTGCCTGACACATAAAACATTTTGTTTTCTTCAAAGAGGATTCTTCAAAGAGGATTACCCCCTGTCCAATTAAAAAATTCTCAGCCATTCACGCCACTGACACATCCTTTTTTAAACGAAGGTAAAAAGTGATCTTAAACAGTAGGGAAATATTTCATTTTAACAAGAAATATATATGTTATTCACTTTATAATTAATTTAAATACTTGTAATCTTCAAACTTCATGCCAGAAGTTTATTAAAAAAACTGCTTACTTGTACGGCTGACATTTAAGACCATGGTTAACAAATTTGTTGGAAAAAATCAGAGAGGTGTGTCCGACCAAGGCCAAGCTGTTTATGTTTACTGACTTTAAATCACTTGCACTTAACTGCTGAGAATTTGAAAACCACTAGGGACTTCTGATTCTTTCGTAAGCTAATGGTTCTCTGAAGGTGTAACATTTTGCCAGAAATAATGCACAAAGGCTCACCTGAGGTCCTTACCCCCCAGTAAAACTAAAGTGTAGAGTGGAAGTTTGAAATAAAACCACAAAAGCAGTCATCACCTAGAACATGCAGACCCACAGTTAACTAATAGCGTAGCTAGCCAAAATGAATTTTGTGATTCAAGTTCATAGACTTCTATATTTTGCCAACAAAAAAAAAAAATGGATAATATTGAACATATAGGAAAATATAAGAAATTATTTCAGATATTATGAGAAATTAAGTAACATGTTCAAGTTTAACTGAAAAGTAGCGTCTGCAATGTAAATTGGACATGACACAATGCTTTCTAAATAATCAAAAGCATCAGAACATCGCTATAAACTGCGAATGATCACAGTATTTTTATCTAGCACAAGTGATTATCCAGTAAAATAGACATATATTGCCAAATTTATCCATGTTGAAAAGAATACCAAAAATACAACTGCGTCATATCATATTTTATTTTCAACTGCGTCGTATCATTTCGTACATATTATTATTTTTTCAGAAAATAAACATTTCTTTTTAATGAAATTTTAGTACGTAATGCAAAATAATATATTGAAGTTTATGGTATACTCTGAAATTAGTATATAATTGATTTGAAGAAAAAACGATGGATAAAGCAATATGAACTGCATCGTATCCACAAAATTTCATGACAATTCTGGCCCGCTTCGAGTTGCAAGTTCGCTATAACTTTTGTTTTACAAAATAGTTGTACAAACAACATAATACAGAACGAAGCGGAAAATAGTGGAGCGTGTTAATACATATATCTGGTTTTAAGCCATTTCCAACAAAAAGAGTTATAAACAAAAACATACCTCTTTCGTTCCAAGATGGCGGCATTTGTTTACATTTTGTAGGATACGACGCAATTTTGATTCCCAGCCCTGCACATGCTACTATTAAAACACCACCTGTGTCTTTGATGTTACATAATGAGTTGTTAAGATGCAATGATATGTATGATATATGCATCAGAAATTCTATATTAATTTTACTCATGGCTATTTTTTTCCTTCCATTTCAGATCCGTCAAATAGTTTTACATCCAATACAACTCCATTTACAACATGTGTTGTCCCTGTCTATGCCAGTGGCGTACTCAGTGCCTTTAATACAGTAAGTTACATTAACAAATGTTGAATTAAATCATCGTATTTATCATCATAATCATGTTGATTAGGCCATAATTTAACATAAACACATGGGTGTTTAGAAATGAATTAATTATATGATTCTAGAAATGTGTAAACAATATAATTTTGATTTATTAACTATACTTATTAGCTACTTTGCATTGCGATTCTTTTTTTTCTCCTATTAGTATGTAATACTTATGTAAAGAAATGAAAACAATGTAATACTTATGTGAAGAAGTGAAAAAAACTATTTGTTGTCATTTTACAGCTGAACTCTTATGTTAATAAGTTATAGAAACAGCCTTGAGATACAAGGTTATTTAACTTGTATATGTAAAAATACAAGACTTCAGGAGGTGTTTTAAATCCCTGCCTTGTATATTGTCTCCGGTCATGTAGTCAGTTCAGCAATTGCACTGGGGACTGTCAGTATTGAATGTTATATTGATAATATTGAAATGGATTTAATCAGTCAAGCATGAAAATAGGCATTTTTGAGAGGAAAATTACCATTTTGAGCCTTTTTTTTTAACAAGTCATAGGTCTGATTGTAAATGAAACTCAGCATTGTATATATTATGAGTGATACTTATCATATACTTCCAAATTCTTTGTTTGCATTTTAAGGAATGGCCCTAAGTAAAATTAAAAACTTTATAGTTAAGGGAAACTTTAAACCAAATTTAAAACATGAACTTATGTACTGGATTTTTTTAACATATTTTGGAATCAATGTACACATTTATATAAGGAAAATACTAACATAAAATCTTATAAATGTTAAATTTTGTTTTCTTGAATTTTGGCCATTTTATAACTTGGAAATAGTCATTTCTCAAGCAAAAAAAACTGACAAAGGTCATAAATCAGTATATGGTTACATCACTTTTATAAAATCCAACATTTGCTATACAGAAAGAACTCCTTTTCATGATGCTTTTATGTTTGTATGATACTGTCAAGGAGGATTCTTGATAACTGGTGAGGGGAGGGGGAGCAGTAACTCCTAGGGGGTTGGGGAGGGGAAAGATACATGTGGTGTCTCTCCCCAACTGGCTTCATAGCATATAAAGCCTTTGAGCATAATTTGTTTACTTTGAATTCTAAAGTACAATGCAGTAATTCTTTTAGAAAAATACTTTTAATGAATGACCAAAATTCAATGACATTTCATATTAGATGTTTAAACCTCATTCTATCTTAAAAAGGATGTCGAATTTTGCTTGACAGTGATAAAATGATTGGGCTTTACAGTATTATGATAAGTAAACTTTGGTTAAGATTTTACATGCAAGTTGGTATCTTCAAAGCTTCTGAAGGGAATAGGTTAAAACTTCACACTTTTGTTCTCTGTGATTGGCACAAGTCCAATAATTCTGAGTAATTTTTTAACAGATTTATGTCTCTTTTCTTACTGTCAAGCACTGAGAATAGTCGAGCATGCATGTCTTAAAGACAGCTCTTGTTTTATTTTGATATTAAAATCCCTTAAACATTAAATGAACTGTTCCAAATTCACAACAGGGTAAATCCATTATACAAATTTAGTGGGTAAGGGTTAAGAAAACCAGGTTAGTTTTAAATTTTGTATGGAATCTATAAACATTTTTTTGTAAAATGCTATCTTTTTCATTTGAATGATATACTATCTAATATTGAAAATAAATTCAAAACAAACAAATAAATCTTTAGATTTAAACTATAACATTAAAATAAAACAATGATTTATAACAATTATTTCAGGAAGAAGACAAGAAGCAGCTGTCTCAGTTTTTACGAGAGGCGTTGTTCTGTCTGTCACTATATCAAGCACCTAAAGACAGTCTTAAGATTGCTGTAACTGAGTTATGGTAAGTGCACTGCCTTCATAAAATACAAAACCATGAAAAACCATTATGTATTTTATGCTCATTTTGATAGAAAATTTCTTAGTAAGGAAATCGTTGCAGAAGATTATAGTCCTGATGCTTTCGTGTTATTGTTGTTGTACATTAATTTGTCAGAGATAAACTTCAGATTGAAATAAAGCATTATGTACCTTCAAATCTTTTGATATACAGTTGTGTCACATGATTTCTTTTAGATGTCTTAACCAGTAATCAAGTTTCCTTGTTGTCTGAATAAGTAATCAAGCCATTGTTCCACTTTGTAATCATAGTTTGAAAAGTTACTTTGGATCTTATAATATTATAATTGTATTATTATTGTATCAATATCACCTAAGTCTAGTTATACTGGTTTCCATGGCTGAGTGGTTAAGGTCATTGACTTTAAACCACTTGCCACTCACTGCTGTGGGATCGAATCCCCCCCAGGGAGTTTGGATTCTTTCATGTGAGAAAGCTGTCTAGCTAGCTCATGGAACAATGGTGGTTTTACTCAAGTTCCCCAAATGTGCATGTTGAAATAATGAATAGAAGCGCTCCTGAGGTCTGCCTTCACCAGTAAAGCTCAAAAGTCATCACATGACCTTCACATATGTTGTGGTGTAACACCCACCCAGGAAAAACAATTGTGTAACACCCAACCAGGAAAATAATTGTGTAATCGTGTAACACCCAACCAGGAAAAACAATAGTGTAACACCCAACCAGGAAAAAAATTGTGTAATCGTGTAACACCCAACCAGGAAAAACAATGGTGTAACACCCAACCAGGAAAAACAATTGTGTAACACCCAACCAGGAAAAACAATTGTGTAACACCCAACCAAGAAAAAAAATCTGAACACTATGTACTGTATTATTTTATATTTACAACTACACATATTGTACTTCAGAAACTCTGTATAAAATTATGTCAGATAATGAATAAATCAGATATGCAAATATTGTGTCCGGTATGAGACAATTTTCTGTATAACTCAGAATTATTATTCCCAGTGTGACCTGGAGGTTTATTGCAAATATTAATCAAGTTCTACATAGTCTGCTGACCATTAAATACAAGCCTATATTTGTTGTTATGAATGGCTTTAGAATAAAACTGGACACAATAAAGCCATCAATCCCTGTGGTTACAGAATAGAAGCACTATCCTGTACAACGACCTTCCTCATCATTTATTGGAAACATTTTATTCCATTATTACTGTTATTGTTAATCCAGTAGTATTTTTGTTCCAAAGAATTATTGCATTTCTTTTATTCCTGGATTTCTTCATCACAATATAGCCAAGAAATAAATTGTATTTTATTGTGTGTACTTTTGTTGACAGTACGTTACTTCATTTTGATAAAGATTAATCATGTGTTTCTTTATAAAAGTACTTGATTTATGGGTAAACTATACAAATATAGCAGATACAGGGATGTTACTTTTGTTTTGTCATACACATTATTAATTAATGAACTTGTTGAATAAAATAATATCAGAGGCTCACATGATAGAATTTTATTCAACTTGTCCAATAAATTCAGTATTGAACCTACACTCATTCAATATCCTCTATATCTAATGAAATATTTGTTTTACAAAATTTATAAACTGTAAGAATTATGTTGTTTCCAAAATCTTATAGTATTTATTTCTCATCTCCAATATATATAAACCTGTGGGAAATGTTGGAAACTTTAAAAACATCTCAGACTTTGTTAATTTCTTTTGTTGGTATATTAAAGTTGCACACAGTTTCTCTGGAGGTATGATTAGCTATCTAATAGACATTCCCTGACATTTAACATATAAAAAAAATGAATGATAAAAATCCCGCCTTGAAAATTTCCTATACTCTACAGGCTGCTATATTGATATACAGGATTCAAACTGGGTTCAAATGTAGTTTCTTTCTTTTTCCTTAGCAAATGAAAAATGCTGGTTAAATAGATAGCAGATTGTCTCGGAAGAGATATAAATTTGATATTGACTGTCTCCTTTGGAAAATGAAAAATGAACAAGAAAGATTTAAATTGGAATTATCCCCTAAAAAAAGTATATTAAAATTTTAAATTTGGTAGAAATTACCAAATTTATTTCATTTGCTTCTGTCTTAGGCTCCACCAGTCTGTGTGTTTAATTGTTTTTATTGGTAAAATATTTGTTAAGATTTTTTTGGTTAAATATTTAAGTCCCAAAGACAAATATGATTAGTTTTTTCATGTGTCTGTCCACATGTCTGTGTGTTGTTATATTTACATGCTCCAGACCTGTAACTTGTGATAAGATTTTACATTAAGATAAATCATTTCTCCCTACTTTGTTGAGCATTGTACAGTTTGCTTTCAGTTTTGTTACATAAGTGTAGTGATTTTTCAAGACTTTGAAATTGCGGCAAAATGCCCAACCACTTTGAAAATTCATACAAAAGAAAACAAAACTAATTTAAAACTGTATTTGATTTTTTTTTCAGTGCAAATTCCAGCAACCATGAATTGTTACTGGAAGTGTTATGGGAAGGTGTTGTACATTCGTCACCACAGGTTCGAGCTACAGCTGCCAGACTGTTTGAGGTATGATTTCCTATATGTTTCTATTCTCCTTGTAGCATGTTTGTTTTCAGGTCAATATGACAGTGACTGGTTTGATCATAAGTTTTTTTCCATTACACATGCTGACCAATTCTCCTTACAGCAGCCTTAAAACATTTTGACAAAGGTATTAGATAATTGGTAGGTAGGTACCTTGCCAAACCTCTGACTTCGGGTTGACTTTTAGAGTGATGCCAGAAAAGTCAATGTGGTTCTTAAAGAAGAGCATTCTACTTTTCCTTATTAAATGATTTGCATATTTACTGATTCTTAATGCAGTTATATGGCATGATCATTCACCATTTTGTAAGACTTGAAGTTATTGGGGTGAAGGTCATGTTTGAAAGTACTAAAACTTGCTTTTTTCGTTTTTCCTCAACATATTTCAATGGTTTTTGTGTGTATGAGTGTGCGTCACCCAGTTCCTATACTGTACTTTATGTCTTATGTTTGAAATGTTCCCTAAAAATGATGAATGGTTTTGTCCAGATTGAAAGATGAACAAGTCCATTTATGATATTTAGTGGGGTTAAAGGGTTAATGTATTTCTTCCCTGATGCTGGATGTTTAAATGTTGATACATTCTGAAACAAATCTTCAGCGTAGTGAAAATCTGTTTCTGATCAGAAATACATTTAGTTGAGTAATAACTTTTATTTATGCACATATTGTCATTCTAACAAATAAATGATTTTACAGTCTATATCAAACTGTTTGATGTATAATATATCATTTAATGAAGCACTTTTGCATGTATATGTTGTGCTTTAATTTGTTTATTATACATTGTAGATTGTAATGCACAGTGTGAATGAATCTCTTGCATCAGCTAGGTGCGTTCCTGCTCTCATAACACTCGGGAGCGACCCTGTCATGTAAGTATGATTGATTTGCTCTCTGTTTAATTTTTTTCAGATATTTCTTATTATAGGATACAAGATATTCTCTCCAGACTTGGTTGAATACTTAAAATTGTATTTAAAGAAACTTCTGATTATACAGCCAAGTATTTAAATGTGTTATAAATATTTCAAGTGATTTTCTTAAAAAGATTTTTTTTCTTTGAAAGATTACACCAATTTTAGAATAAGCATAATTATATCTTAAGTAAAAATTTACTTGAAATCTGTACCAAATATGTAAAAGAGTATAAATAGAGGAACAACTTTGCAAATTTAAGTTTGTACAATTCCAGTTTTGATATAATTTAATTGCTTTTAACATTTGATTGAATTCATTCATATAAAAATAACTTTAAATTGAATGTTTTTTACAAATACAATACATCTTGAAATTGCAACTTTTTTTCCAACAATTAGCATGTAATATACTTGGTTTTCAGATCAGTGAGGGTTGCTACCATTCCAGCACTTGGTACAATAATAGAAACTGTTACAACCAGAGATGTAAGCTTATATTTTATTTACTGTTTAGCAATGAAATATAGTATTTTTCTATCTTATAAAAATCAAAGTCACATTTTGACCTTATGACCGACCCTATGCATATATCTTGCAGGAAGGTTTGAATCTGCTGAAATCAAATTAATATTCAACTCATTTTTAATGTGTACCATAAAAAAGTGGATTTTATGTCATAAGTGCACCAGAGCACAACATGTCTTGACAAATCAATGTATTTCAATTACACACAAAAAGTATGGTCAACTGTCTGGTATCATAGGTGTCATTACAACTGGGTAACCTGACAAAAGTTGCAGTCTTTAAGAGCAGGTTTTACTGTTTTTTGAAAAAAATACATTAACCATAAGCCAGCTGGAGGCAACTGATTCTACCCATGCGACCAGTTAAACTGCACACCAGTGCCATCTGAACACGGTTTGCACTGTTTGCTATTCAGCCAGTATATGTATGTATTTTGGCATTTTACCTCACCAAAAAGAAATGAATGGTTTTGTCCAGACTGAAAGATGGGCACATCCATTTAAGATATTTAGTGTGGTAAGGGTTAAACATCTTAAAGAGTTCAATCTTTTACTTTTATTGTTTCATACGATTTTTGTGTTTTATAACATGATACAATATTTGATTTCATTTCACTGCTCTCGTATGTTAGATAAAAATGTAAATCTTTGCTGTATTGCATTTATTTTTAAAATCAGATACATATATCAAATAAAGTAGTTTATGATATTTTAACGACTTTAATGGTTTTACAATATGTATTTTGTCCAATAAATTTTCTTTAATTACTGTTTCAGATATTAGAGAAAGTATATATGCAGTTGCAAACATTCCTAGATGATCCAATATACAGAGAGGAGCATGCGTTACATCTTGAATTAGTATCCACATTTGCACGTGTCGGACCTAATGCTGAACAGAAATTCAGGGATGAATGTATGTACATTGGTTTATTTATTAGAAAGGTTAGGTTAGCTATTCCTCATCCTTGTAATAGATGGTGTTTTCCAAAGTCATACCATATCTGAAATTCCTTTCATGTCCACTCTAGAATTTAGCATGAATTTGTCGGGTTTCTATTAAATACTTCAAATAATGCTTAGCATAAATGTCCTAGTTTGTGAATTAGGACTTAGAATATTGTGATTTTAAGCAGACCTGTGTTTGTGTGGATAAGGAATGCAGGAGCGTAATAGTTAAGTTTCCTACCTCTCTACCCATTTTTCTGCCTCTCAATTCAGGAATCATTAGTTTGAGTCCTAACAGTTGTTCAAATAAGCTATAAGCATTCATCACAGGTGTTTGAAGTGAGTTGGTCTATTATGGAGGGTCTGTAATACAATGAATAATGATGTTGAAATTATTAAGTATAAGACAAAACAAAAAACCATGAAAGAACTATACATGGATCTTGTGAGATACATGATCTGAAATTACATATATTTATATAGTAGATAGTGAAATGTTCTAGAACAAAATATTATTATTTGTCATATAAATGTTCATTCTAAGTCACTTAGATACGGAGCCCCTAAGATGACATTTTCCACACTTTTTTTCCCGGAACTTAATTCGTTTTTACGAAATAATAATTCGTAATTACGAAATAATAATTCGTTTTTACGAAATATTAATTCGTAAATACGAAATATTAATTCGTAAATACGAAATATTAATTCGTTTTTACGAAATATTAATTCGTTTTTACGAAATATTATTTCGTAATTACGAAAGATTAATTCGTTTTTACGAAATAATAATTCGTAATTACGAAATATTAATTCGTTTTTACGAAATATTAATTCGTAATTACGAAATATTAATTCGTTTTTACGAAATATTATTTCGTAATTACGAAATATTTATTCGTAAAAACGAAATATTATTTCGAAATTACGAAATAATAATTCGTAAATACGAAATAATATTTCGTAAAAACGAATTAATTTTTTTCTAGGGTTTCAAATAGTTTTGGTAATAGTTATAAATAAGGCCTCAAAACTAAGTTCTTCACTGAATATAAGGCATGTTCATGCAATATAAATAGTGGTTTTTTTTCTCCCCAAGTTTTTTAACTTTACACTATTGTACATAAATTAAAATAATCGCCTGTCAATAGCGTTGAGCCACAGCCGTGATAGTACACGCGCTAGGAAAATTAAGTTAAAATGGGGGTCCTGTGCTTTAAATCCAAACACGGACATTTCTAATTTGTTTAAACTGATAAGATAAGTGAAAGTCTGGACCCCCCCCCTTGTCCCATTAGTTTTACTAATGTATATGATAAAAGAACGGAATAATATAGCATGTTTCTGTTTTAAAGAAACATGTGATAAAAGATTGCCTCAAACATTAAAACATTGCTGATAGGAACATGTATTTGACAAAAGGGAAAAATAGACATTTTTGGCCAGATAATGACTTCTAACTCAAAAACTCTGTTCACTTAAATATAATAACTTGAGAACCATTCGGCATATAATCGAAAGGTTGATTGTAAATGACCCATTTGTGAGATTAGCAGGTTCTTTATCAAGCTCAAAATGACCTTATAAGATTTCGTAAAAACGAATTAATATTTCGTAATTACGAAATAATATTTCGTTTTTACGAATTAATATTTCGTAATAACGAAATAATATTTCGTAAATACGAATTAATATTTCGTAAAAACGAAATAATATTTCGTAAAAACGAATTATTATTTCGTAATTACGAAATAACATTTCGTTTTTACGAATAAATATTTCGTAATAACGAAATAATATTTCGTAAATACGAAATAATATTTCGTAAATACGAAATAACATTTCGTAAAAACGAATTAATATTTCGTAAATACGAATTAATATTTCGTAAAAACGAATTAATATTTCGTTAAAACGAATTATTATTTCGTAAATACGAAATAACATTTCGTTTTTACGAATTAATATTTCGTAATAACGAAATAATATTTCGTAATTACGAAAAAATATTTCGTAAAAACGAATTAATATTTCGTAAATACGAATTAATATTTCGTAAAAACGAATTAATATTTCGTAAAAACGAATTAAATGCCGGGAGAAAAGTGTCGAGAATGTCACCTTAGGGGCTCCGTACTTAGAACTATATCAACATTTAGTTTTTAAACAACTTTTTATATGATTATCCAAATGATACATTTCTATTATTTTTATCAATATTTGAGAAAATTATGGAAAACATGCCCATTGAAGATCAATTCGCTTTAAACTTAAAATAAAATAGGAGATCTTTTTATATTGCTAACATGCGTTTCAATTAAAGTTACTGACTTAATTAAACATTTCTGTGCCAGTGGCTAATTATTCGGCAGCTAAATGATAGAAGATGCCGGCAAATAAAGAGAAGAATTGTGTGACAAAATAATACAGACTGCATCATTCTTAATGTATCATACTAAATGCAAATTAGAACCCATGGGAATTACCTTATCAGATTCCATGTGTTGTCGCAAATTCTTCCTAATCTCTTCTCTCACGAATCAGTGCCTAAATGCAGGCTAATCATTTGTATTTGTAACATTTGGTCGAATGAGCGAATTGAGGGCAGTGAAAACAGACAGATTGGAGAGAAATCTTAAAATAAATCTCAAGTTGTCTATCGCGCCTTTTAGATAAGATACTTAAAGATACTTGTAAGTTATTTGTAGGATTACATGATACAGAAATGAAATTGCAATAAGAGCCAAAAGCTATTTTACAATTTCTAATATAAATTGAAATTTGTTATCTCGTTGAATCAATGGAAAACATGGACGTATATCAGTTGTTATAAATCAAATGTTAACAAAGAATAAAATCTTTCTTGCACACATATTCAAGAAAGTATTTTCAGATAGTATATGATTTGGGTAAATGACTGAATAAAAGAATGTAAAATATTTTTCTGTACGACTTTGGTCTCTATAAAATATTTTGTGCTGTAATTGTTCTTTAAAAATTTAGAGTCTTCATTAACTTAGTTGCTGAAAATTATTCTAAGAAATTACTGTTTTATATTGTTATTACCATAATAAATAGTGGATTTTCAGTTTGAATATTCGAAGAATATGGACAGCTACTGTACTCACTGCGGCATCTGGGTCGGCATTGCCGTAACATTTTTGTAAGGTGGTGTTTCCAAAACTAATGAAGGGCATCAGTTAAATTGTTCTTTATGATTATCTAACATGATGAAAAACAGGTCCCATAACTTTAAGTTACATTTTTACAGAGTTAAGTCCCTTTTCTTACTGCCAAGCACGGGATGTCTTACAGAGAGCACTTTTCTAAATATCAATCGATTTAGTTTAATTTGTAATAAACGTATTGAGCTGAATTGTTATTTTGTTTTACAGTGATTATGTTAAGTATGTTTACAATTAGCCTGTTAAAGTAACTTTATATTAAATTTAACGATTATTATATAATTTATATTGTTTGTATCAAATGAAAGTTAATATTTACAATTCGTTTAGGTTTTGATGTGCCTTATACTTTATACAATACCTTCATTTAACGCATATGGGTTGAAACGGAAAATAACTAGCGTTTGACACCGGTATAGAGCTGGCCTCTATAGTATTTGTAGAGCAGAACTCTATACTGTTTAGAATAACCTTAAATTTTCATATTGATATTTCTAAGTTGATTTTGAACAGAATCAAAACAGACGCTGAAAAATACATTTCTGAAATTCAGCATGAAAATGGTTTCACTTTTTTGGTCTGTTAAATGAAAGGGAATAGAGATTGTTTCTTATTTGATTAATGAAGTAAACTGGCATTAAAATATACTTGGCCATTGATTTCTTGTTTTATTGCTGATCTAACTTTATGATAAAATCTATGTTATCTAAGTTATTTCTCATATAAAATATGATGTTTAGAAATGTGGAACCAGAAAAGCATATAAATAATCCTGACTTTTTGAAGAATGATTTACTTTTGCTATAGACATAGATTAATGTCCGTATGATATAACAATTTTTAGGTTTTGCAGAATATAAGATTTTACCCTCACTACATAAAATATCTTTAGTAGAATAGCCCATCTTTTAATCTGAACATAAGCATTCATCATTTTAGGAAAAGTTTCAAAATATTTATGATGAGTTAGTATTGACTTGCCGGCTTATCTTGAACTGCACTGGTCGCTCAATTAGAATATGTTGCCGTCAGAAGGCGAATGGTTAAAGGAGTTCACGATTATGTCAGGCACAGCCGTCTAACAATTAAGTATAGTGACTGCCTGAGTGGGCACTTACGTTTTTAATCTGACCACTTAAGTCTGGTGGTGTATGAGGCATTAAACCTCAATGTTGTACTCCTGGTCACGATGGTAATTTGCCAAAATATGCAGCGTCTGCAGACACTATTATCCATGAAAAACGAGTTAAGCTACAGACTTCTGATGTTCTCAAAAAATCACGCTAATCCCTACTTGAAATGTTCGCACAATATGGAAATTATGCACAATCTGCAAATTAAGCACAATCTACCAAGATCTATTCATAGTCACTTTTCCTTGTAAATTGTCACATATGACAAGGGTATTTTAGATTTTCGCATTTCCATAGAAGTGAATATAGCAAAGATGAAGATTAATTAACATGCATACATAAAAAAGTTTTGTTTTCCGACTTAGATACTCAGAGCAAAACTGAAGAATTGACTTATTATTTCAAAGTATTTTAAGTTATGCATGTCAGTTTTGAAAAAAAAAATATTTGTTTTTTTTTTAAGGTTTGAATTTATTTCAAAATTATTCTAACAAAAACGGATGATCATGTCAAACTTATAAACAGAATGTATGATTCTAATGTATACGATAGAATATTAATAAGAAATATTTTCACTTAAAATTATCTTCGCATGACTATCGTTAAATATGTTAAAAAAGATGCCTAAGCTATTTGAAAAATCAGGGATG